ATTTGATAGATTTGATAGATTTGATTGATTTGATTGATTTGATTGATTTGATAGATTTGATAGATTTGATTGATTTGATTGATTTGATTGATTTGATAGATTTGATAGATTTGATTGATTTGATTGATTTGATAGATAGATTGATTTATAGATAGATAGAATTCCATCACATCTCCACCGCCTAAGTCCCATCCACCTGCGCGACCTGCCGTTGCTCTTCCGCCGTCGCCTGGTCTGCCCCGACGTGGCGCTGCTGCACGTCTCGCCGCCCGACGCGCACGGCTTCTGCACCCTGGGCACCTCGGTGGACTGGGCGCGGGGCGCCGCGGAACACGCCAAGGACACCGGGGAAACTGCGGGGAAACCGCTTGGGGTTGGGAAAAGCCTGGGAAAAGCATGGGAAAAATGGTGACTTAGATGGAACATCACCATTTTTCAGAGGTAAATCAACTATTTCTATGACCATGTTCAATAGCTATTTTAAATTGCCAGAGGGTAGGGGATGGTTGGTTGTGGGTTGGGGAGGTGAACCTAGGTGAAATGCAAGGAAAAATGAGGGAAAATATCAGGAAATATGATGAAAACCATGGTGGTTTATACATATGTTTGACCGAGCAAAGCAATGAGCAAACGACGTGGCTTTTTTAGCAGCCAAAGATGGGGGTTGAAGTTACAAGACACAGCAAAACACTAGTTTCTGCCAAGGAAAATGATGCGTAAACATGTTTGTTTCTAAAGATTCTACCAACAGAGGTTCGATGGACGCAAGCAGCTCGAAATGAGCGTTTAAACTTTATACTTTCAACCATCACAAATGGAGGTCAGCACATCAAAACAATGGATTTACAACTAGCAAAACTCAGCATAACTGGTTACAATTTAAATGAGTTTGTTGTTTTGTTGGAGTGGTAACCCAATTTATGCTGAGATGGGATACCAATGGTTACCATTGGATTACCATGAGTGGTTACCAATAATTACTTCAATGATTACCAATAAATGGAGATGGGTGGTTGGATGTGTTACCCTCTGCTAAACTGGTACATAACGAACTGGAAAATCACAATGCTATCAATGGGTATATCAACTATAAATGACCATTTTCCATAGCTAACTGTTTGATTACCAGAGGGTAAACATGGGACACCCATTGACCAACAGATGGATGAAACCACGACTACAAACAGCGATTCGACCGGCCATTTGACCAAGCATTTACGCACCATGAAGCAATGCTGTTCATATAGTACTGATAGTACTAATGGTAACTATTATTTGTAGTACTATGAAATCAATAGTACATGATTACTAAAATCAATTACATCATATCAATCATTGTATATTAAAAATCATTGACCAACAATCATTTGCCAATCATTTTTCGCCATAGCCATCAGTATGTCCCCATGAAAAATCATCTCACCCTCTGGTAAACTATGGAAAACTGTTACATAACTATGGAAAATCACCATGCTATTAATGGGTAAATCCACTATTTCTATGGCCATTTTCCAGTTCGTTATGTAACAAATTACCAGAGGGCTTATAAAAATATCACATCTATATAACAGAGGCTTATATCAATCCCCCAGCCAGTGTCCCTACCCTCTGGTAATTTAACATAGCTATTGAAAATGGCCATAGACATAGTGGATTTTCCCATTAATAGCATGGTGATTTTCCATAGTTATGTTAAATTACCAGAGGGTATATCCCCAAATGTGTCAAATGTGTCCCTTGTCGTCAGGCTTTGGTGGCCCTAGTGAATCAGCAGATGCCCCGGGTCCACGGCGATGGCATCATCCACTTCTCGCAGTTCGATGCGGTGCTGCACCACGATGGGCCCTTGTGGATTCACAAGACCAAGGCACCGGGCACGGCGCCACGGCGCCACGGCGCCACGGCGCCACGGCACGGCACGCCACGTGGCGCCACGGGTGGATCTGAAAAAAGTGATGGGGGGAAGTTTTATGGAAGTTGGTCGGATCTGAATTTCGATTTTTTTAAGGTTTTAATATGGGAAATTGAAGTGGGATATCATTGTGATAAGAATTATGGAGAATGGTGTGTTTGACAACGGGGTATTCGCAAAAATGGTCAGTTTATTGCGGAAAATTATGATGGATCATGACGTGTTGATGTTATTTTGGCTGTTTTATAGACACGTCACAACGGCGTCGCTATAGATTTTTGACTAGTAGGTGGAATCAAACCCAAATTGCCTTGTTTGAGGTAGGTGAATTACTATATTTTATTTAGCCAGGACATATGTTAGAAATGGTTAGTTCAACCCATCAAAAATGATAGTGATATGAATATTCATGTTTCATATTGTCTAAATAGGTCTGCTGAAGTGGAAATTAAATACAACACAATCATATGTCTTTGTGAAGCGGGGAAACCACACTTTGATCAGCGAGAAGTAATGTTAGAAACGGTTTTGTTTTTGGAGAGAGGACTAGTACCCTCTGGTAAACTAACATAACCATGGAAAATCACCATTTGTAATGGGAAAATCAACTATAAATGGCCATTTTCAATAGCAAACCGTTAAATTATAAATTACCAGACGGTAAAAATGCTTATTGACTAGATATGTTATCGCGATGTGGTGGTACTTCACATCGACCCAGCAACCCACCGCATGTTTTCTTGGTAACCCGTTTCTTTTTGCTTACGGCGCGGGTTAGTAAACCAACAGTAATAAACCAAACAAGACTAATTATCCCAATAGTGACCCTGGTTGGTGGTTTCAAACCTTTGGATTATTTTTCCATAATATATGGGATAATCCCAACCCCATTGACTTTCATATTTTTCAGAGGGGCTGAAACCACCAACCAGATCCCAATAGTGAATAGTATGTGGCTGGTTCATATCCGAAATTTCCATACCAAAATGTTGTAGTCTAAAACCAAGATCCATACCCAATGGAATGGGTTGGCAAAGAATGGTGTGGATATAAGCAGTAATGATGGAGATACATCAATGATCATGAGGATATGTTGGGACTGTTTCAAGGATTTTGACATATGGAGACAGAAACAACATATTAATATACATTATATACATATATACATAATATGAGATATACACATACTATCTGGTTGGTGGTTTGGAACATGTTTTATTGTTCTATAATATTGAGAATAATACTCCCAACTGACGAACTCATATTTTTCAGAGGGGTAGGGCTCAACCACCAACCAGCTATTATATACATATATATATATTTATATCTCCCCAACGGAATGTGAATCAAATGACAATTCCTGCTGGGATGTCATCAACGTTGATGGGGATGTCACCCCAGCTTTTTTATTCCACTTTCAGCCAGCACGTACCACCGCAAAAATGTGTTCAACACACAATTACTCTCTGGTAATTTAATTTAAGATAGGCATGCGAAATGTGTATTTTAATAAATGTATATAAATCAATTGTAAATGATGAATGATATATAAATGACCCATTTTTCATAGCTATGTGAAAGAACCAGTGTAACATGTCCTACATTTTGCATCCTTACTTCCTAATATCAACCCCGGGATTAACAACCTGCTGGGCTGTTTCCGGGGGTTACCATTTGTGTCGTAAATGATGTTTTCTTAGGCCCCAAGTCTTCAATCACCAGGATGTGCGGTGATCCGCGGTTCACATATTGTTTAAACAAACAATCAATTCACAGTGGCTCTGAAAAACCTACCCTCTGGTAAACTGTTACATAACTATGGCAACTTTGGAACATCACCATTTTTCATAGGTAAGTCAACTATTTCTATGGAAAATCACAATTTTTCATACACCATTTTTCATAGGTAAATCAACTATTTCTATGACCATGTTCAATTTCGCAAACCGCAAACGTCATTCCCAGGCCGGGTATTTTTTTCGTCGTGATTTTGTGGATCACCGATTGATCCATCTGCCACTGGCTGTGGGGCCCCCGTTGGATAGCTAAGTTGGTTTATAAACCCCGTTAACTATGGTTATATAAGTACCATATTAACTATGGTTTATGGTTTATGAGTACCATATTAACTTAATTAAGTTGGTTTATAAGTTGGTTATATATAAGTACCATAAACCATAGTTATTGAAGTTATAAACATTAAACCAACTTATAACTGGGGGGCCCCACGTAACGCAGGAGTTGACGCCTGAAGAAATTCGCATCGGTCAACACATTGCCGAGCTGGTTCCTGATGGTGCCACCCTGCAGCCATGCGAAAAAAACCGTGGAGGGATGGGACACGATGAGGGGCCTGGAGTAAGCTGTGGTGAAGCCACCAACATGGTGGGTTTCACCATGAAAAATGGTGGTTTAATGGTGGTTTAATGGGAAAACCATAGGAAAATGGAGGTTTACCCTCTGATAATGGTGGTTTAATGATTAATGGGTTAAAAAAACAAAGAAAAATGGTGATTTCTAGATGGGATATACCCGGCCTGGTTATGACTCTTACAGTTTGCATTGGTTAAGCAATGGCCCTAATCGAAATAGATGGTGTACCGAACTTAATAGCATGGTGGATCTTTCCATGGCTATGTAACAAATAACCAGATGGTATTCATTATTATTTGTGTGTTGATATCTTATACCATCTTATACTTAGAATTTCAGAACATGAGAGTTATGGTGGAAACGTAATATCCTTCCAAAACTGTCTTCTAGGTCTATGTAGAGACAAATATGTATATAAGTGCATGCGTTTGTACATATATTATGCATATATAAATATGGAATCATTCAGTTTGCTGCATTTCACAATATGCTTTCTTACCTGCGATGGATTCGCTATGAATGCACACCAAATAGTTTTGTTTGTTTATTTTTATTTTATCAACATCGCAGTATTCCCATTTTTACATTCGAGTACCCCCTGAAAGATGAAAAGTTGAATCCCAACAAATTATTTGAACTTGCTTCTCGATTTTCTTGGATTGCCAATACACATATCTTTTTTCGTTTCTCGCCAGGTTGTATTTTTCAGTGGCCTGGATAGCCCAATCCGGGTATCTTAGGTCATCACAAATCAGCATCACAAAAATACAAGAAACTATCACAACTAAATCATCATCAAGTACCTTAATAGTTTATTACCTTGCCCCTATACCCACAGAATTGATGTTAGGAAAAAAAACATGTTGCAAGGTTTAAAGTCTTTTTTGAGTACGAGTTGCTTTATAAACCCATCCACCTGTAGATGTATTCACCAGTTCCACTGTAAATCCAACACCTAGCCTAGCTCTAAACCAACTTACTTATCATTTGCAGGCCCATTCCAGTACTAAAACTCATCATGCATGACCAGTTTGTTTGGTTACCGCTTGACGTACAAATCCCAACATGTTTCGAGAAAGAAACACATACCCTCTGGTAATTGAACATAGCTCTGGAAAATCACCATTTTTTATAGGTAAGTCAACTATAAATGGCCATGTTCAATAGCTATGTAACAGTCATTACCAGAGGGTACATCAGTATATCCCATCTAGAAATCACCATTTTTCTTGGTTTTGTTATCCCATTAAAGCACCATTAAACCACCATTATCAGAGGGTAAACCTCCATTTTCTTATGGTTTTCCCATTAAACCACCATTAAACCACCATTTTTCATGGTTCCAAAAACCCATCATTTTCTGATATCTCAAGTTATGGAGGTGAACTCACCATGGCAGAAATCCATACAGAAATCCCAGGCAGATGGGGATTGGCTCAGTCCCCGATGCTGCACTTAGTCAGCTGACCAACCATAAGAACCTGGGCATTCACACCGAGATGTTTAGCGCTTCTTGGTTAAAAACTTGGGATTTTACCAACAAAAATGGGAAAGTTATGGGTATATAACCCACTACAAAATGGTGGTTTAATGGGATAAAAAAACCAAGAAAAATGGTGATTTCTAGATGGGATTTACCCGGCCTGGTTATGACTGTTACAGTTCGCTATGGTTAAGCAATGGCCCTAATCGAAATAGATGGTTTACCGAACTTAATAGCATGGTGGATCTTTCCATGGCTATGTAACAAATAACTAGAGGGTAACCAAGAAAACAGGTGAAACTTGGGAGTTTTTATGGCTAGGGCTTTACATGGGGGATATTTCATGGAAGTTACTTTTTTGATGTGTGAAATTCTGTGTCTGAAAAAGGGATCGATTTCACCATTTCAGAAGCAATTCAAATATGGAAGATGACGGTAAACCACTAGATTTGGAACATCCTATAGGATTGACCCAAATACTAGGGATTTATCGATTTTTCCAGCAAGAATTTGCATTGAACAATTTATCCATGAGATAAAATGTGGATTTCACCAAAACTCCAGCCAAGATATTGACCACGACGGGTGGAGGTTGAGGTGGAAAACATTGCGAGCAGCACAAGAAACGGCTGCCCGATAAATGATGCTTGGGACGCTGCAATTTTTTTTGCAACCACAATGGCATGATGATCAATGTAATTGTGAATTATTCCTATAGTTCAGACCATGAACACTTCTGACTTTTATGGTTCAGAAAGCATTAACTGAGTGATGCTTAGGTTTGTGAAACATGATTGATAATGGGATGATTGACGCCGTTAATCATGTTCAATCTATAGCCGTAATTTTCCCATCGGTGCGTTGATGTTTACAAAGAGGGGAAAATCCTGGAAAAAAAAAGCACCGGTTGTTGTGATGATACAGCTAGTAACAACCAATAGTCAAATCATGACACATGGCTAAGTAGTGATGAATGGCTAAGTGATGACAAATGATCATAAATGACAATGGTATATATAGACATAAAGAGTACAATTAATAGTACTGATAAATGATATGTATATATATATTGCCCATTTATCAGTACTATATGTATCAT